TGGTTACTTTTTTGGGACCAGATATTTCTGTAGTGGCAGGCTTATGCTGTTCTTTCAGTCCTTGGTCACTATTACAATACATGTGATCTGCTGAATATTGTTCAATATCATCAAGCTGATAATTTTCTTTACCTCCTTTTAAATTTATTATCTCCACCTTGAAAAAAAAAGTTATTTGCTGTATAATCTTACTGATAAAAAGCTTACATTCATCTCAGCATTGTCATCAGAGAAGAAAACCACAGATTCTGATACATTTTTATCACCTTCTATGGTAACAGGAGGTAGGTATAATACTCAATATTTTTTTATCTATACTTTCATCTTTAGGGTTGTGTGGCCATGGAGGACCACCTCCTGTACCCCTTCTATAATTTCTCTCTTTGACAGCCCTAGCTTTGGTGTTCTTCTTTATGTCAACCCAAGTCTGAAAAATAATTTATGAATATTTTGTTTCACACTTATTTTTTATACTACTTACTTTTCTCCACTGCTTCCAGTCTTTCGCAGGTCCATTGGGAACACTATTGAGAATATTTGATATCTCTTCCCAGTTCCTGATCATTACAGATTTTGTATAAGTTGATGTTAATCGACCAATATACATTTCTGGTTTCTGAGTAATATACTCCGTCAGAAGTTCCTTTTGCTTATTTGTTATTGGTAATGATTTCTTTTTCTCCATAATAAATAATATTTTGAACAAGAGATTTGGTGTATCAGATACAGAAAGCTGATGTTTTATGTTAGGTTAGGTTCTGATTCTTCTCTACAATACATATTCGTTTCCTATTGGTTAGAGTATTTGACAACGCCGCAAAAAAATATCTCATGAAAGCTTTTATTTTCCTCCCTCTCATCTCCCTCCATATTGTTCAAGAATACACTGTGGTTGTTCTAGAACGAGGGAGTAGAAACAAATCCGAGGGAGCTCCCCAGGGAGCGTTCTACTCTCTTGATCTCAAGAATCGGCGGCCTGGGGGAATGATGTGTCCAGGATGGGCTATCTCGTCAGGGTTCTCTGGAGAAAGAGGCGACTGACGCGAACCCCGACTAAAGGTGAGTTCCCAATGCCGCGTTTTGGTTTTACTCGTCGCGCGTCATGCAATCTGAGCTGAATTCGAAAAATATTTGACGCGATGAAGTTGAAATATTTTAACTTTTTGGCGTTGCTGCTCTGTGCTAATCAATTTAAATGGTCATTTACCTGAGGTTATGCTCCAGAAATGTTTTTATTCATTTTCAACCCTGTCAATGCAAGGTTATTTTCCATTATATATCGGCGCCTCGTCCGCAGAGATCACTTTGGTAGTATCGCTCGGCGATGCACTAAGGTCACGTATTATTGAAGAAGAAGAAGAAGAAAAGTTATCTGTTGTTGTATGTTTCAACCTCTTCCCATTCCCCACTTCATTACGCTTTTACGTGTGCTAGGGTCACGACGCTTCCTGCGAAACAGGTAAAAAAAAATATATTTTCACACGTTCCAGGTCCAGGGAGAAAAGGATTAACAGACTGGAAAAGCCTCTGAAAGAGAGAAACAGCCATGTTGGCGGTAAAAGACCTAACTCGACTGTCAGGGAGACGCGTAGTCCCCACAAAACTTGCTCGAAAGCACGCCGCTCTCGTTCTAGATGCCCTTCACCAACCAGAGCAAAGAGTTCTGACAGAAATTTTAGTCCACCCAGAGCAAGTATTTCTAGGATGTTCACCAGCCCATCTAGAGCATGTAGCTCTAATAAATCCACTGGAACATTTAATACAATAAATGAAATCTCTGATTCACCAGATTCAGATGCAGTCAGCATTGAGGAACCCACGTTGGGTTCAATCAATTCACCAAGAACTAATACTGAAAATGAACCACCTACAACTCATTCTCCAGATGCAAACCTGGATGAAGAAACAATCAAATGTCTTGGTGAAAACCCTGCAAAAACTGATAAGAATGTCATCCATCTATATACTACTAGACTACATATACTAAGTTCAGGACTGGGTAGAGAAACTCATGCAGAACTAACTGACAAGTACCCTTTTCCATAAAATGGTCGAAGACTGAAAGCTCCTCTGTTAAATGCAGAGGCAGCCCTGGTCCTTAACGAACAAGAATCTAAAAATACAAGAATTTAAGCCTGGCCCAGGACAACCTAGGAAGAGGCATCAGTGCTATTGGCACTGCTTTTAATATTATTCTGAAGGAAGAACCGTCAGAATTGAAAAATAAGATCCTAACTTCACTGACTATCCTTAGACAGACGAGCAAATGTAAACTTTTTCCTGTCAAAGCCAGCAAAGGATATAGTATACAATAGCCAAGTAGAAGAGTATCTTCAGCTCCACCAATGTCAGGGAATATAGATCAAACTCAGGGTCAAAGAAAATTGTAAATCATTCTTCAAACCCCAAGGGTCCATCTCACTTTCAGAGGGGAGTGAGACAGAAGGGGCATTACCCTCAGAACCAGGACAAGGGGAGATACTACAAGAGGCAATAGAGGTAAGAAATTAGATTGGGGGTAGACCCCAACTTATTTATGAAGTATGGAAAACCATAACCAATAATAAAGTTATACTAAATTGGGTGAATGGATATAAAATACCTTTGAATTGTAAACCCCTGAGTATAAAAAATACACAACTGACCAATCATTATCCAATAACTGACAAGGACAGCATAACATCTTGCATTGTTGATCTAACAAATCAAGGGGTCGTAATGAAAGTTGAGCGATGTAAGGATCAATTCCTGTCCCCATTCTTTACGGTAGTTAAACCTAGATTCATTCTGAACCGGAAGTATTTTAATACTTTTGTAAATAGTTCTCACTTTAAGCTAGAGGATTACCGAACAGCATTGAAACTAATGTATCCTTGATGCTATTTGACCACTATTGATCTTAAGGATGCATACTACTCGGTGAGTGTAGACAGGAACCACAGAAAGTACCTGTGGTTTCAGTTTGATCATAACATATCCAGGGCTAAATTACGGTACCTCGTAACTCGCAGTTCTACCAAAAATGAGGTATTGATATTATTCTACTAAGTATACCTAGAGGCACCTGTTGGCATAGATATCAAGTGAAAATTAGTTTCCTGTGATTTTTAAAAGTTGATTAACGTGACCTCGTATCTGCGGTATCCTATTCCAAAAGTGCAGGAGCTCGTAAGTACAAAAACGCAGTACCTCGTATATGTAGGCGTAAAATAGTTGATGACACGGCGTGTGCAGCATCTCGTAACTGCCGGCAGATATCACTCGAATGCAGTGCAGACCGGTTGTTATTTGAGGTTGTCCTTTCGTCGTTCGGTAGGTAATCTTCCACAATAATTCTTCATTGATTCACAATGAAAAAAACTATACCCTCAGAATGTTTGAGACTAGTACAGTGATATCACTGGTGTGATGAAGCGATGAGGTGTCAGATACGTAACACACAGAGAGACCGTTGGCATTGTCGAAGCGCTCTCGGTCGGGATCACTTGTTTGTTACTATATAATTAATATTTTGTTGAATATAGTTTCGGGTCTAATAAGTTATTTTATTTTGGTTCTGTGGTGGCCGTGTAGTTTACATATTTATTCATATTGTCACTTACGAGGTACTGTTCTTTTTTTGCAGATGCAAAATCGAGAAGTTACGAGGTACTGCAGTAGTGGTCGCCGGTCTCCAGTCCAGCCCACTTTTCTCCAAACCACGTGACTCGGTCGACCAATCACAGGCCGGCCTGACTCGGCTAGCTACTCGCGGCCCTACGGGTCGTCATCATCGGCTGGACTGCGAGAGATCCGTTCCAGAGATAACGGCGCGCATTTTATTCCATTTTTCACCTAACAACGGTTATATACAGGGTGTTTGAGTTGGGTAATAGTTTGGAAAAAAAAATATAGGGTGAACCCAAAAAAAGGCGTTATACCTCTCCGAAGAGTAGACTACCTACATATGAAGGCTACCCGCTATAACATGATATATACAGGGCGTTTGAGTTGGATAGCAATTAAAGAAAAAAATATACTGGACGCCTCACCCACTTTTGCGGGATTAGACAGCTGACGTATTACATAAGACATTTGACAGTTAACAAAGGATTGATGACACGTGACTAGATGACCTGCAAGTAGACTACCCGCTACCTAATAATTTAATATACTGGATGTTTGAGTTAGCAATAGCGATAAGAAATAGGGCGTCTCACAGGTACACTCAGCAAAACATACGTATGATAGAGTATCCGTTTGATATACAGGTTGTTTGAATAGCAATACAAACTCACATAGGGCACTCATGGCCTGGCGTTTGACATTTGACAGATGACCAAAAAAAACGCTATCATACATCAATACTAGACAAATGATACAATGTTTTCGAGGTTATGTTCCATTTCAGACATTCGGTATAGCAAATTTATTTATTCTTTCTATGGTATGTTTTAACTCGTACAACATATATAATAATATAGTGCCACTGAATGATCAAGACCTCTATGTCATGTTGACATGTTAATATTTGGCAGGAATAATCAACACTTAGGAATATTATACATATAGTGCCCCACTGAAAAAAGGTATTTCTTTTCGAGCCACCCTGTATAACATTGGCATTTACAGTTCGGAGAAGATTAGAAGGAGCATAATAATCATGTTCGTCTCCCTATTAATCAGTACCAATCAAGATGTTGAAGAGTGAGCATGTGCTGCTGTTGCTTTCAATCATCGCGTCAGTTTCCGCTACTGGCAATGATACGATAGAATATTATGCAGGTGCCTTTTTGAAGCGTTTCGGCTACATAAATACAACGGATAATGCTGTCACCGATAAAGAATCAGCATTAATGACATTTCAAGAGACATACAATCTCCCTGTGGGTGGATCGCTGAATAACGAAACTCTACGACTGCTGAATAGTCCGCGTTGTTCTGTAGGAGAAAATAATTTCATGATACATTCGAAATGGAACAAAACAAAGTTACGCTGGTATTTTCCTCAAGCTCAACAGATGCATCGTGATACAGCCAAGATGGCATTCGATAGGTGGGAGGAGCTATCAAATTTAAAGTTCGAAAATGTGCGAAACCCTAGCAGACAGAAACCTGATATAACCCTAACTGTTATTCGAAAAAATCATAATTTCCGAGCAAATTGTCAAGGCACTTCCAAGTGTCCACATAATTTCGACGGTCCCGGGAAAGTTTTAGCTCATGCATTTTTTCCAAATGAAAACAACAAGTGTATTGAGATTCATCTTGATGCCGAAGAAAAATGGTATCTTGGAAATAGTACTTCTCCTGATGGCCAAACTAGTTTATTGATGGTTCTGATTCACGAAATTGGCCATGCTCTTGGCCTGGGCCACAGTGATGTCAATACAGCTATCATGTATCCTTGGTATCAAGCAAGTCCAGCATTATTCGATATAGATGATAAGAGGGCGATAGAATATTTGTATGGGCAGAAAACTGAAAACTATCAACCAACAACAACCTCAACAACACAGACAACCGAATCCCAAAAACCAATATCCCAGCACACCTCTACCACAGCTTCATCAGTGTCGTCAAATGAACCCCATAACGTAGACGTTACTAGCACAACCTCAAAGCCTCAGATAACTCCAACAAGATTATGCGACATTCAAGTGCCAGACTTTATGTTTCTAGCCACAGCACCCCAGTTTCAAAATTATCGCATGTACGTGGGATACAATAGATTTTTGTGGAAGTTCGATTTGAACGATATGCGAATTCCATCACAGCCAGAGCTGCTTGATGATTATCTTCCTGAAGATTCAAAGTCTTCTCGAGTTTCACATGTTTTCCAAAATTCTGTGGGTAATCTAGTGACATTTATAAATGATAGCATGTATTATGCAGCATCTTTTCCGAATTTTCAAATCCACCAAAACTTTCGTTTTCCTTTGCCTTCTAAAGCAAAAATTAATGCTGTCTTCCTGACAAACAGTGGACAGGCTTATTTGTTATATAACAACGATTCTTACATTACATTTGATGACAATGGAGACATGAGCAACCGTGGGCCACTTAGTCACATCTTCCCAGGAATTCCAGCAGGAATCAGCTTTTCGTTATATCGATGGAAATATATATTTTTTCGATAGACATACGTACTACAAATATAGTGAATATACTAGACGGGTAGTGAAAGCCGAACCGTTCAGTTGGAGCGTCTTTGGGATATCCTGCCCCAATGATGGATTACTTCATCAATTGAAAACAATGTTAACAAGAATTATATCACTTTACGAATAAACGATTAAATACCATTTTGTTTTATTCCAATTGTCACATGTATGCTGTCTCAGTCACGCGTGTTCAGTATGATGTTCAGGCATGTGTGTTGAAAAATGCATCAATTTTCGAGATATATAATATTAGCATGGAAATGCCGACCTCAACTAAATTGTTCAAATAAATAGTCGATGTTCATTAAAATGTATGTAGACGTTTTGAGGAGTGACTCTCACGATTTTATTGCACTAAATAAAATACCTACTTTGTTTTTCAAAAACCCACCCTTCACACTTCATCAAGCTGTCTCCTCCTCCTGGTACTTTCACAGGTAGCAGCACACTTCAGTGAGACTCGTAGGCTTCTCGTACAGGCAGCAACACACCTCATTGCCCTTCTATATGTCTTTTATTCCCCTGCATGGTGCTGGTTGGAAGTAACTGAAAGTGGTGAAACTGAAACATAATGTGAGTTGCAAGTGTTGTAAAAATTCTCGAGAATCAAATAGGTCATCAGTTTGAAAGAGGTGTGCGCATGCGTCACAAAAAAAACGTCACTCTATATGAGTGACAGGGCTAACTAAGTGGTAGTATGACAGGCGTCAATGGCGGTGTGAATGGCAGTGTGGCGGTGTGAATGGCGTTGTGGCGGTGTGAATGGCGTTGTGGCGGTGTGAATGGCGGTGTGACGGTGTGAATGGCGGTGTGACTGTGTGAATGGTGGTGTGAATGGTAGTGTGGAGGTGTGCATGGCTGTGTGAATGGCGGTGTGAATGGTGTGACGGTATGATTAGTGTCGGGTTCATAAAGATGTCAGTTGTTGTCCTGACTTCATACTGTTAACATCATAGTAGGAAGAAAAATATATTACGTCTTGAGATGTTTGCTTGTCAGCAATGCAACAAGAAATTCAAGTGGGCCTATGGATTGAAGCGGCATATGGATAGTCATGACGAAAAAGTTTTCAATTGTCATTATTGTGTGGACAAATTCACAAGATTGGATAGCATGAAAAAACATTTGGCGAGAAAGCACAAAGGGAACGACCTGGTAAATTCCCAAAACGAATCGATCACCACTGATCAACGAAATGAGTCGAACTCCATTGATAGTGAACACCAATTATTGTCCCAAAGCCAGTCGAATTCTGAGATTGGTCAGCAGTTGAGTCAAAATGATGCTATCACGGATGATCCTTGTGAGAATGAAATCGAAGATAGACATAAAAAAATTGTGGACTTAGCTGAAATTGTAAGAAATAAATATTTGGCGCTTGAACAACTGGCTGACGTTAAAGTACCTATGAAGCGTTCAAATTCAACATGTCTGAAGATAACCAAGTCAAAACAAAACCAGGAGTTGTGTCCTGTCAAGTATTCATCTCACATTCAGAATGGCCATAAAAGTACTCGGTATTCACCAAGAGATGACAGCAGCTTCGACATTCTGAGGAGAGGTGGAATGATAGAAGGAAGCTCCAGGAAAGCAGATGAAATAAAATTAGAGCATAGATTGTGTAGAGGTCGTTTGGTATTTTAGTTGAAATAAATTGTATTTCTTTGAATCACGTTAAATTTTTTATTCACACTCGACATCTTGCCAAAAAAAAATGATGTCAAGGTGACAAATGACAAGATTGATAGACAGATCCCACATTATCTTGATAAATAAAATATATTCACCTCTGGCCCCTATATTCTCAGCATTTAGAGCAAAACCGCATGCGCATGCGCATGCTTACTCGAACAATGATTTTCAACGTTGCTTGCTTGTCTTCTGTTTTACGATCAATTGTGCATAAATCTGACATGGTTGGCTACTGCTGGCTTGCTGTTCTCTCATCATCATCATGCATCCGATACTTCAACAGCTGGTCCTCCGTTTCACCAATGAGATGTAATCTGAAACTGCAGTAGAGCATGAGACGCAAGGTCTCAGTATGTGTACAAATAAAGTTCATTATAATATGAAAATATTTCAAGGTTTAGATGGAAAAATCCGCCACTGGGGTTGGGACCCAGTCTTGGACAGCTCTTTTCATCCTCCACTAAAACCCCTACTGCTTCAATCTCGGATGAATGAAGAGCAAACCCATCGTTAATCCTTTTGGAAATATTTCCACAATAATGATATTATTCAGATCATATATGTATGTATAAATGGAAAACTAGTTGGTTTTGCGTAAATGCAACAAAAAAAAAAGTAGAGGATTGAGCCTCAAATGCCAAAATGGGATATTTTCAGGCAGATTTCAATAGCCGAGCTCAAAGGCGTTGAAACAAATACAAATACATCGCACAATAAAAGAAATATAACTATAACATTTTTCACCCGGGCCGTCACAAAAAAAACGGAAATGGAACAGAGCGTTCCAGTCGGATCGACGCCCAACTAGGTAGACTCTACGCTGAAAAAGCTGAGTCCTAAGAACTCGAAACCGGTCTGTAGGTGTCTGGAGCGTGGCCTGGCTAGGTCAAAATCAATAGGCATTCAGGAAAGAAACACTTGTATCGGTATTCGTTTATACGAGTCGATGCACAGATTTCAGGAGAATGTAATCCACTGCTGGGGCATTAGCCAGGAAAGTAGTTGTGAAAACGACCCCAACTTTTGATTTTTTTGTAACATAAGATCGTTCCAGAAGATAAAGAAGATGTCAAAATTGAAAAATAAATGAAAATAGTATCATTGATTATAATTATTTATGAATAAAAACATAGTACACATACCTGTTACGATGTTACCTGGACTTTATCAACTTCAAGCCACTGAACCTCTCTTGTTTGAACCACTTGGTCGTACCATTTGTTCAACCCAAAACTCCTGATGATGCTGATCTCAGTAGTACTCCACAGCATAAACTATAAAGTCGAAAGGGAAAAGTTACCTGTTGAGGATGTCATAAAGCAAGCTGTACAATGAAAACTCAAATCGTCAAAGACACGAGCATAATGTGCGTATTCAATAATCTCAAATGTCTATTTATAGATTTCCTTCATTTTAAGGATATCGAAACTTTGGGAATCATCGAGAAATATGTATCTAACCTGTACGGAAACGAACTGATTTTGAAAACAATAAGAAAAAAAGAAGATTGAAACGTATATATCTATATATATAACTTCACTCCTCACAACAACTATCAACATAGGCTGTGGAGAGGTGTGGCACAATATTGTACTGAATACGTCCACTAGTAAATAAATAATCATCGTCCACAGTCTCAAAGATGTCTTCACACACGAAAAAATTATATCCCCAGCAAAGCACACCGTCACGGTAAAATTGAAGTTGTAACACATCACCTTCGTCATAATTGTCACCTAGGGTAACTTCATACCGGAATAACTGATTATTTATTTTGAAACTAATCAGAATATAAGAATTTATCTGTTCAACAGCGTCTAATTTAAAGTTAATATAGACAAAATTTTCTGTGAGTGTATTAAATTTTACTAAGCACTCGCATTCACTCATTTTGCCAAAGTTTTCACAACAAAATATGAATGAAAACTGGGAGAGATTGAAAAACGTTTTCTCATACAATAAGCGAACGGAAACCACAAAACATGATTACTGAAAGGAAAGGCTAATTAGATGTTTTTTCCGCGCAGAAAGAAAGGAAACGATATCGGTTTTGCTAAAAGTGCTTTTCCAGTTTTATCTGGGACTTTTCGTATTTTTTCACATAATATATCGTTCCTTATACAAAACAATCATGTTTAATCGACATGGTATATACTCTCAGTTACCACAAAATGACCTTGACACGTGTCGAAGCACTGTGTAGTTATTGCATTACCTTTTTCTCCAAGATAATGGACTCGTCCAAACGTGATTAGAGCTGCTCATCCTACCTCCTCCACTCCTATTCACCGATAATGAACTCATCCTAGGTGTGTCGAATACCCTAATAGCAATGATGATCCAACTTCATTTCCTGCTCAGTCTTCGTGGTGATCGGTTGCTCTCTCACTCTCTCTCTGTGTAAGAAATAATCTGATTATCTATTTTGCTTATTTTTCAGTTTCGCAGTTTGCATACAGCTCGCTTCTTTGTTGATATTGATTTTTTGAGAATTTTTGACTTTTTCGAAATTTTGGATTTGTCGATAATTTTGAGTTTTTTTTAATTGCTGATTCTAGAAAATTTACAGGACATTACCTTCAGTTTTCTCTATATATAGTTGTGCTTGCTTCGATTTTTATCATTCGACGATAGTGTGATTTATTTGAGTGTTATATTCATAAAGGAGAAATTTTTGATTGTTAAAGACGTGGTCAAGAAAAATTATCGCTTCGGCGTACAGGCTCGTACTTTAGAGCTTAATATAAAACCTATTCCTCAAAACAAGGAACCGGTGGCCTATATCAAGGATGCAGTCACCGACATTGTTTTAAAAGGCACTGAGGGCCTGCATCCAACCGATAAGGTAGGTTTCTCGTTTTGTTCTAAAGATTTCGCGAGGGGACCAGGGTGGATAGCTTTCAAAACTGCTTCAGAGGTATCGGTGGATGATATTTTCGAAAAAATATCATCCATTTATCAATCAAACTCTTGTGGCCTAAACACCGAGACCTTTTG